TACAGCCTTTTTTTTGAAGTCTATTTTGTCTGATATGAGAATTGCTACCCCAGCTTTTTTTCTTGTCCGTTTGCTTGGAAAACTTGTTTCCAGCCTTTCACTTTTAGTCTGTGATGGTCTTTTGTCCTGAGGTGAGTCTCTTGTAGGCAGCATATGTGTGGGTCATGCTTTCTTATCCATTGAGCTATTCTGTGTCTTTTGATTGGAGAATTTAATCCATTTACGTTTAAGGTTATTATTGATAGGTACTTATTCATTGCCATTTTTGTACCTGTGTTCCTCTCTGTCTCCCTCTTATCCTTCCTTCCCTTAAAGCAGTCCTTTTAGTATTTCTTGTAGAGCTGGTTTGGTGGAGGCATATTCTTTTAGACTTCTTTTGTCTTGGAAGCTCTTTATTTGGCCTTCTATCTTGATTGAGAGCCTTGCTGGGTAAAGTAGCCTTGGGTGTAGGCCTCTGGTTCTCATTACTTGAAATATTTCTTTCCATTCTCTTCTTGCTTGAAGTGTTTCCATTGAGAAGTCGGTAGCTAACCTTATTGGGGCTCCCTTGTATGTTATTTCTTTTTTCTCCCTTGCTGCCTTTAAGATTCTCTCTTTGTCTTGGAATTTTGCCATTTTGATGATGATGTGTCTTGAGGTGGGCCTCCTTGGGTTCCTCTTGATTGGGACTCTCTGTGATTCCTGGATTTGTGAGACTTTTTCTCTTATCAAATTAGGAAAATTTTCTCTTATTACTCGTTCAAATATGTTTTCTATCCCTTGTTCTTCTTCTTCTCCTTCTGGTATTCCTATTATTCGTATATTATTACGTTTCATATTGTCTTGCATTTCTCTTAATCCCTCTTCATTCTTTCTGAGCCTCTTTTCATTTTCTTGCTCTTTCTGTGAGATGCTTTCTACCCTGTCCTCCAACTCACTAATCCTATCCTCCGCTTCATCTATCCTACTTTGGAAACTTTCTACTGTGTACTTCAATTCGGAAATTGTATTCTTCATTTCCTCTTGTCTCTTGCTGATGGTTTCCATTTCCTTTTTGATGTTGCTGTAGTTTGCAGAGAGATCATTATAATTTCCCCTGTAGTTTCTGGTAGCTCACTGTGAGCTCTTTGAGCTCTTTGAACTTCGTAATAACCAGTGCTTTGAATTCACTGTCTGATAGTTGATCAGCGTCTATTTCATCTAACATTCTTTCTGAAGTTTCTGCTTTTTCTTTCATTTGGGGATTGTTTCTTTGTCTTCCCATTGTTTGAGACTCTTCTTGTTCGTCTCTGCTTCCAAAATTGATCTGTTCTGAAACACTGGTTTTATGGTGTAAACTTCTGTGGTATGATCCTTGTGAAGTTCAGTGGTACAGACTCCTTGAAGTTTCTTGATGTTCTTCGTGTCCACCTACACTCACGCTGGTCCTCGCACTGGTCTGTGCGTTGGTCGCCTACCACTGCTGAATGTCCCGGCTCTAGTAGCCGCCTCCTCAAGCACCCAGGCCCGTTACTAGGGCAGTGGCACAGAGGCTGGGAATGTCCTGGCTCCCGTATCTGGCTCTCTCTGCCGCCCAGGGCCGTCACAGGGGCTTGGAGTGTCCTGGTTTCCGTACCTGACTCCCCGGCCCGGCGTCTAGTCCTGTCTCTATGGCAGTGGCACAGAGGCTTAGAAAGTCCCAACTCCCGTACCTGATTCCCCAGTGTCCAATCCCCTTGCTATGGCAGCAGCACAGGGGTTGTGACCCTCCCAGTTCCCCGTAGAGGGATCCTCTGCCACCCCAGGCTGTCTCAGGGGTTTGGAGTGTCCAGGCTTCCGTACCTGACTCCCCGACGTCCAGTCCCGTCGCCATGGCAGCGGCACAGGATTTGAGATCTTCCCGGCTCCCGTAGCTGGCTCCTCAGCTGCGTCACAGGGGTTTGGAGTGTCCGGTTTCCGTACCTGGCTCCCCGGCGTCCAGTCTCGTCGCTATGGCAGAGACACAGGATTTGAGAGCTTCCCGGCTCCGGTAGCTGGCTCCTCAGGGTCCAGGCCTGTCTCTATGGCGGCGTCACAGGGGCCTTTGGTGTCCCTGCTCCTGCAACTGACCCTTCCGTTGCCCAGGCTAGTAGCTATGGCATCGGCACAAGGGTGTCCCCGCTCTGGTTCCTGACTCCTCTGTCTCCCAGGACCATCACAGGGGCTTGGAGTGTCCGGCTTCCGTACCTGAGGCCCCGGCTCCCAGGCCTGTTGCTCTGGCGGCAGTACAGGGGCCGCGTGAGACCCAGCTCCGGTAGCTGACTCTGCCGCTGTCTGGTGTTTCAGCGTCGGTCACAATCTCTGGTCTTTTAATTTCATAAATGCTGGGTAACCGATGGTTTATTGTGCTGTTTCTCCATAGATCTGCCAGGATTTTCACCCATGAGTTCAGGAGCTAGTATCCGCTCCATCTTACTCCGTCGCCATCTTCCCAGCATCCCCTAAATTTTTTTAAACATTTTAAAATTGTTGTTCAGGTACCGTTTTCTGCCTTTCCCTGCCACCCCTCTCCACAACCCCTGCCCTTCATACCTCCCTCCCCTCTTTGGACACACCCCTACCACCTGTTACTTTCCATGTGTCCTTTATAATTGTTCATGCAAACCCTTCACCCTTTTCCCCTATAATCCTCTCCTCTCTCCCCTCTGGTCACTGTCAACCTGTTCTCAATTTCAGTCTTTGTTTCTACTTTATTTGCTTGTTTGTATTGTTGATTAGGTACCTGATCAAAGTGAGATCATATGGTATTTGTCTTTCACCACCTGGCTTATTTCACTTAGCATAATGCTCACCACTTTCATTCATGCTGTTGCAAAGAATAAGAGCTCCTTCTTTCTTTCTGCTGCATAAAATTCTATTGTGTGAATGTACCATAGTTTTGGGATCCATTCATTTACTGATGGGCACTTAGGTTGCTTCCAGAAGTTGACTATTGTAAATTGTGTTGCTTTAAACATTGGGGTGGATAGGTTCTTTTGGATTGGTGTTTCAGGGTTCTTAGGATGTAATACTAGGAGTGGAATTGCTGGGTCAAGAAACAGTTCTGTTTTCAGTTTTCGGAGGGAATTCCATACTGTTTTCCATAGTGGTTGTACCAGTCTATAATGCCACCAACAGAGCACTAGGGTTCCCTTTTCGCCACAACCTCTCCAACACTTGTTGTTTGTTGCTTTGTTTATCATGGCCATTCTCAATGGTGTGAGGTGGTATCTCATTGTGGTTTCAACAATTCTAAAATCTTTATGAGACTGTAATAAATCCTGAATAGCCAGAGCAGTTTTGAGGAACAAAACTGGGGAGTCATGCTCATTACCTAATATCACACCATTCTATAAGGCTGTAACTATATTGTATTTGATAACTATAATCAAAACAACATGTTACTGGTAGAAAAGCAAACACATAGATCAAAGGAACAGAATAGCTCAGAAATAAACTCACCAATATGGCCAGTTAATTTGTGACAAAGGAGAAAAGAATATTCAAAGGTGTAAAGACAGTCTCCTCAATAAATGATGTTGGGATACATGCAAAAAGTGAAACTAGATCACTTTCTTATAAGACATGTAAGGAAAAGCTCAAATTGGTTAATGACTTATATTTAAGACCTGAAGCCCAAACAATCCTAGAAGAAAACATAGGCAAGGAACTTTTCCAAATCACTCTTAACAATATTTTTTGGACATGTCTTCTACAGCAGGGGAAGCAAAACAAACAAACAAATGGGACTACATCAAAGTAAAAAGTTTCTGCACAGGGCAGGAAACAGTTCACAAAATGAAAAGACAACTTGCTGAATGGGAAAAGATATTTGCCAGTGATACATCTGATTTGGGTTTAATATCCATAATATATAAGCACCTCATACAACTTAACACTAAAAATAAGGAAACCCAGAGCAAAACCAAAAAGAATCTAATTAAAATGGGCACAGGGCCTGGACAGACATCTCCAAAGAGAACATACAAATGGCCAATGGACATATGAAAAGGCATCAACATCACTGCTCATCAGCCAAATGCAAATTAATAGCACTGTGAGATATTACCTCACACTTGTCAGAATGGCTATCATCAATAAACTCAGAAACAACCAGTGTTGGTGAGGATTTGGAAAAAAGGGATCCTTTGTGCACTATTGGTGGGATTGTAACTTGGTGCAGCCACTGTGGAAAAGAATATGGAGGTTACTTAAAAAATTAAAAATAGAACTGGCATATGACCCTGAAATTTTACTTCTATGTATTTACCTGAGGAAACTGAAAACATTTATTTGAAAGGATACACGAACCTTTATGTTCATTGCTGCATTATGTACAACAACCAAGATATGGAAACAACCTAAGTGTCCATCAGTAGATGAATGGGTAAAGAAGAAGTAGTGCATATATACTATAGAAAATTACTCAGCCATCAAAAGTGAAACCTTGCCATTTGTGACAATATGAATGGACCTTAAAGGGTATAATACTAAGTGAAAAAAGTCACACAGAGTAAGACCAATACTGTATTTTGCCATGTATAATGCACAGCCACATTTTTGGCCCAAAGTTTAAGGGAAAACAATCTTTTGTTTTAGTTTGTTTTTAATGAATCTTTTTATTTATTTGTATTTAGATCCATGTTTTTGGTATTATAAAGGAATTTTATAATTCCTTTATTTTCCAATATATTATGGTATGAGAAATTTCATGTAAAAAGTAGTTTTACAGCGAGAGTTATACTTTTAAGGCATAACCATAAATAAAATAATTTAAAACATTTATCTAGATACAGAATTAGTATTACCCATGTATAATTCCCATCCTTATTTTTCCCTCAAAATTTTAGGGAAAAAGATGCACATTATATGCTGCAAAATATGGTACTATGATTTCACTTATTTGTAGAATCTAAAGAAAAAAATAAATGAACAAATGAAACAAAAATAAACATACAGAAAAGATAACAAAGTAATGATCACCAGATGGGCGAATGTTGCAGGAATAGGTGAAACAGCTGAAGAGATTTTTTGACCGTGCTGTTGTGTTGCTGTCTCCCCCAGTCTTTCAAAGATTCCTGCCACAAATTCTACCACGCAGAGATGGAAGAGCTCGACTTCCTCAAGGCTGCAGAGGAGGCCAGGACACACATAAACTCCTGGGTAGCAAAGAAGACAGAAGGTGAAAATATACTGTTATTCTATTTTAATAGTATTTTAATAAGTTTGACTGTCAGTTTCTTCATAGGAACATGAAATGTAAATGAGTAATTGTTTTTCTCAAAATAACTGTAAACTGCCCTGGCCCGATAGAATAGTTGGTGAATATCATCCTGAGATGCCAAAGTTTTTTGGGGTGTTTTATCCCAGTCAGGGCACATACAAGAATGAACCAATGAATGTGTAAGTGGAAGAACAAATCAGTGTCTGTCTATCTCCCAAACAAAACTTCTCTCCTGCCCCCCCTTTGCTCCCTCTCCCAAGCTTCTCCTCCTCCTTCTCGCCCCTACTCTCCCCGTCTTGATCCATAAATTAAAAAAATATAGAAAAACAGTAAAGCTTTAAACTTCACTGACAATTTATGATTAAATTCTCTAGCATTTTCCTGCTCTTATTAAAATAAATGTGATTTCTCTACATATCCAGTATGCCTCTTCCAGAATAATCCACATATCGATTTTTTTCTAAATACTTTATTAGCATATTTCAGATTTTTAAAAATTTTACCCTTTTTATTGATTATGCCATTACATTTGTTCTGTTCCCCTCCTCCACCCTGCATGCCCCTCCCCCCACCATTTCCCCTTTTTAGTTCATGAACACATGTCTCAAATTCTTTAGATTCTGTATTTCCCCCTACTATTCTTACCCTCCCCCTATCTATTTTCTATATACTGTGTATGCTACTTATTTTCTGTACCTTCTCCCCCCCTTCTCCTTCTTCCACTCCCCCTGTTGCTAATCCTCCACGTGATCTTCATTTCTATGATTCACTCCTGATCCAGCTGTCCTCTTAATTTGCTTTTGTTTTAGGTGTGGTTGTTGATAACTGTGAGTTTGCTGTCGTTTGACTGTTCAACTTTTTTATCTTCTTTTTCTTAGATAAGTCCCTTTAACATTTCATATAATAAGGGCTTGGTGATGATGAACTCCTTGAATTTGGTCTTATGTGAAAAGCACTTTATCTGCCCTTCCATTCTAAATGAAAACTTTGCTGGATACAGCAATCTTGGTTGTAGGTCTTTGGTTTTCATGACTTGGAATACTTCTTTCTAGCCCCTTCTTGCCTGTAAAGTCTCTTTTGAGAAATCAGCTGACAGTCTGATGGGAACTCCTTTGTAGGTGACTGTCCCCTTATCTCTTGCTGCTTCTAGGATTCTCTCCTTCATTTTACTCTTGGCTAATGTAGAGACTTTCGCCAAGATGGAGGCATAGGTGGATATGCCGTGCCTTCTCACACAACCAAGTTTAGAGACAACCAAATATAACAATAGAAAACATAGCCAGAACACGGAAAATTGAACTTTTCAGAAGTCCGTTAACAACAAATTCTTCAGCCTGACTGGTAAGGGGCGAAACCAGCGGCTGGTGGAGCAGGGTTGCACAGGAGGACTTGGTCAGACAGAGTCAGGCGGGCAGAATCCAAGCGCGTGGAATCCAGGCACAGGGGTGGACCTAGTGAGCTACCGAGCAAGTGACCAGGCGAACGACCGCGGGAGAGACAGCGGGGGAGCAGGGCTGCAAATTGACTGTGGTGGAGCATTAGTGCACGGGTGAACAGGTAAGGGAGTGGGCAGTTGGACCGGGGCCCGGCGGGTCCCCGCAGCAAGCGGCAGGGAGAGCACCGCCATTTCCCTGCTCTGACCCCACCTCCACATACAGCATCATAACCCAGCAACTCTGAGTGGCCCGGCCCAGGTGAACCACCTAAGGCGCTGCTCCTCACCCAGCTGTGAGAAACAGCAGAGGGGGGTGCCATTTCCCCGCTCTGACAACGCCCCCACATACAGCGTCACAACCCAGCGACCTGGGAGTCCAAGGCGTCACTTCTCACACTTAAAGGGTGCGAACAGACCAAAAATGATGCAAGAAGATCTCAAAGCCCCAGAGCCTATAAATCTAAGTGATGAAGAAATAGCAAAACTCTCAGATGCACAGTTTAAAACACTGGTGATCAGGATCCTCACAGAACTGGTTGATTATAGGCACAAATTAGACAAATATATGAAGGCGAAACTAATTGAAATGAATGGAATTGCACAGGACACCAATAGCAATGAAAAGGAAACTGGGACTCCAATCAATGGAGTGGACCAGAAGAAAGCAAATAATGGCCAAACAGAAAAGAGTCAAGAAGCAAAAATTCAAAGAAATGAGGAGAGTCTTAGGAACCTCCAGGACATCTTTAAACACTTCAACATCTGAGTTATAGGGGTACCAGAAGGGGAAAAGGCATAGCCACCAGTGGAAATCTTATTTGAACAAATAATAAAGGAGAATTTCCCCAATCTGGCAAAGGAAATAGACTTCCAGGAAACCCAGGAAGCTCAGAGAGTCCCTAAGAAGTTGGACCCAAGAAGGAACACACCAAGGCACATCATCATTACATTATCCAAAATTAAAATGAAGGAGAGAATCCTAGAAGCAGCAAGAGGTAAGGAGACAGTCACCTACAAAGGAATTCCCATCAGACTGTCAGCTGATTTCTCAAAAGAGACCTTACAGGCAAGAAGGGGCTGGAAAGAGGTATTCCAAGTCATGAAATCCAAAGACCTACAACCAAGATTGCTCTATCCAGCAAAGCTTTCATTTAGAATGGAAGGACAGATAAAGTGCTTCTCAGATAAGATCAAATTCAAGGAGTTCATCATCACCAAGCCCTTATTATATGAAATGTTAAAGGGATTTATCTAAGGAAAAGAAGTTAAAGAAACATGAACAGTGAAAGGACAACAAACTCACAGTTACTAACAACCACACCTAAAACAAAAGTGAACTAAAAGGACAGCTAGATCAGGAGTGGAAACATAGAAATGAAGATCTCAAGGAGGGTTAGCAACAGGGGAGTGGGAGGAGGAGAAGTGGGGAGAAGGTACAGAAAATAAGTAGCATAGACAGTGGATAGAAAATAGATGGGGGGCAAGAATAGCATGGGAAATATAGAATCTAAAGGACCTGAGACACATGGTCATAAACTAAAGGGGGGGTAATGGTGGGGATGGGGGGGTAGGGTGGAGGGGAATGAAAGGGGGAATAGAACAACTGTAACAGCATAATCAATAAAAAAATTAAAAAAAAATCTTGGCTAATGTAATGATGATGTGCCTTGGTGTGTTTCTTCTTGGATCCAACTTCTTTGGGACTCTCTGAGCTTCCTGGATTTCCTGGAAGTCTATTTCCTCTGCCAGAATGGGGAAGTTCTCCTTCATTATTTGTTCAAATAAGGTTTCCACTCTTGACTCTTCCCCTTCTGGTACCCCTATAATTCGAATGTTGGAACGTTTAAAGATATCCTGGAGGTTCCTAAGCCTCTCCTCATTTTTTTGAATTCTTGTTTCTTCATTCTTTTCTGTTTGGCCAATATTTGCTTTCTTCTGGTCCACTCCATTGACTTGAGTCCAGACTCCTTTCCATTACTATTGGTGTCCTTTGCGTTACCATTCATTTTAATTAGTTTAGCTTTCATATGTTTCTCTAATTTGTGACTAAAATCAACCAGTTCTGTGAGGATCTTGATCAGCAGTGTTTTGAACTGTGCATCTGAAAGTTTGGCTATTTCCTCATCACTTAGAATTATCGGCTCTGGGTCTCGTTAACCTGTTTAGCCGAGCATTTCATCCTTTTTTTTGGACTCCGTATTGTCGATTTTCTGTGTGGTCTGGTTGTGTTTATCATTGTTAAAAATAGTTGTTCTTAGATTTGGTGGTGCACGAAAGCAAGGTGGGTCCACCTACACCTCCATCTTGGTGGAAGTCCCACATTTCGATTTTTGTTGTTGCTAATGTTAACCCAATTCTTCTTTTCACAAATAGTACAAAGATGCACTTGGATACAGGTCTCAGGCTGTCTTCCTGTGCAGCATGGCTCGTACCCTGCAGCACCCTATGCAGAATGCTCACTGCACCCTCCCCTCATGATGATTCTTCCTTTAAACTGTTCTTTACACTTGCTACAAACTTGGACCTTTCTTTAGGCACTAGGCATTCCTATCTCACTTGTGAGGAATTCATCCTGCATATATTACTTTGTTAATTTTCCATGTTTTATTTATGTGGTGGTGTTTTTAAAGTATCCCTTTACATGGTGATATGTGGGGAACCATGAACTCCTTTATCTGAGTACTTGTTTTTGCAAGGAGATGGCACAATCTGAATATTATTCCTGAAGCGTACCTCAGAACACTCTGAGCTCACTGGTTGTTTAATTCTTCTTTTCAGGTAAAATTACAGAGTTGCTGTCTCCAAATTCAGTTAAACCAGATACTCATCTGGTTCTTGTGAATGCCATCTACTTCAAAGGAAACTGGGATACTCAGTTTAACAAAGAACACACCATGGAAAAGTCATTTAAAATCAGCAAGGTGAAAATTTTGTAATAACAATGGAGATTGTTAGAATCAGTCCCTGTGTTCAAGGGCGTGTGCTCTCAGTCTTGGGGATGAGTTTGGGGGCCTGGTTTGCCTGCAGCACCATCAGGGGGCTCCTGTGGCTCTAACAGATGAAGGGAAATGGGAACAGAGCATGTAGGGGACCGAGCTCTTGTCACAATTACCAGGTGCTTTTAGAACTTGAGTTTTCACTCCCTTGGAGTGGAGGGGGAGCCACAGAAAGGTGTTTAGTCAAAGAGTGATGTGGTCTGACTTAGTATGGGATTTACCAGATCCCTCTGGCCACTGGGTGAGCAAGTCAGAAGGGGGAAGGACACTTAGGCATCTTTTAGGAGGTCATCCCAGTGACCAGGCCTAGGCTGATAGCAGTGCAGGTAGAAAGAGCAAGTCAGATTGTTGTAATATTTTAAATGTGAGCCAGGATGATTTGTGAATAATTGTGATGTGAATTGTGAGTGACAGGAGTCAGAAATATGCCAGGGATTTTGACAATAGGACGAGTGGCATAGGCATCCACTGAGATGGGGAAATTGTGGATGGAGCAGACTTGGAAGTGATATGAGGAGGCCAGTGTGACAAGTGGCATTGGAGTTTTCTTTTATGTCCAAATGCAGGTGTCATGTAGGCCGTATAATATGTGACTATTGAGTACAGGGGACAGGTCCCAGCTAGAAGCGTAAATTTGGGAATGCTACTTAAAGTCACAAGACTGAATAATTTCACCAAGGCAGATACAGTGTAGGGAGTGAGCCCTGGTTACCAGAGTGACCAGAGGTTGAGGGAGTGAATTCACACCAGCAAGGTGGGGGCTGATGGGTTGTGGAAGCCAAGAAAGTATTTCTAGGGGCCTAGAGTAGCCAGCATTGCTGGTTCATTCAGTACATAAACTGGGTCTTATTTCAACTTACTGTTTATTCTTTTCATTTTTTTAAATAGAATGAGGAGAAGCCTGTGCAAATGATGTGTAAGAGAGCTACCTTTAATATGACTTACATAGGAGAAATATCCACCAAAATTCTGGTGCTGCCTTATGTGGGCAAAGAGCTGAATATGATCATCCTGCTTCCGGATGAAAACGTCAATCTGGAAACGGTAATGAGTGCTAAGGAACAATGGTGCTGTCATTGGCAAGGAGATTACACTTGCACTTCTGCTTAGCATTTCTCCACATTTCCCAGTGATATTTCTAAAGTAGTGTAACTTCCCCTTACTGCCCTCTCGTACTGCACAGCATAGAGCACTCACTTCATAGCATAGGTTCTCTTGGGCAGCACTGTTGTAGATCATAAAATCTTCAACCCTCCCCTTCTAGGTGGAAAAAAACCTTACTTATGAGAAATTCATGCAATGGACCAGGCCAGATATGATGGATGAAGAAGAGGTGGATGTGTCCCTGCCTAGATTTAAACTGGAGGAGAATTACGACATGGAGGATGTACTTCGCTCTCTGGGCATGACTGATGCCTTTGAGCCAGCCACAGCAGACTTTTCTGGAATGTCATCTGGGAGAGACCTGATTCTGTCCAAGGTCGTGCACAAGTCCTTTGTGGAGGTCAACGAGGAAGGCACGGAGGCTGCAGCTGCCACTGCTGCCTTGCTAAAGTGTGCATGTTTTATAATCACCCCCAGTTTCTGTGCTGACCACCCCTTCCTTTTCTTTATTCAGCACAGCAAAACCAACAGTATTCTGTTCTGTGGCCGATTCTCCTCCCCTTAAGGAAATGGTCAGCACTGCCTGTAGCTCTACTCCTTTCTCCTATTGACCCACTTTTCCTCTGACACTTTACAATGTACCTGCACCCAAAGTGACCTTGATAACAATCCAAAAATAAAGGGCCTGAATTTGAAGTTGCATGTTTAGATCTCTGTGT